GGAAGCAAGAAATCACCCCCCAGGGGGGATGGCCATGCCGCAATCCCTTCTCCTTCATTCTCCTCTCAGGATCTTGGGCACACACACACACACATGCTTGGTGTGAGTTTAAGCCACCAGATCTGGGACTCGAACTGTGGTCGGCTACATGGGAGTTCAGCGACATAGCCATTATGCCAACTGCTGGTCCACTACATCTTAATTTTATGTATGTATATTTTACTGATTTATCTGTCACTTTAATAGACTTATTAGAGCACTATATTTTAGCCCATCAATTTTAAGTGGCATTCTTGACTCCCTTTGCGTTCTTCCACTTCTGTCTTTTTTGTTTCTCAGCTTCTGGCAGTTAAATCATTACTTTTATATTAGCCAAAGTTACAATGTTAAATTCTTTTTCGTAACATTTTGTCTTAAATGCTTTTCCTATAGGTTAATTTCAAAAATGAAAATTAAGAGTATAATTATGTGAATATATTATCTACTGCAAAAATAGAGTTTTGTTAGATGTGCAGAGGGAAATGTGTTCCTGTGTCACCGATCCTGCGTCACATAAAAGGCATGCTCCGGGAACCAGCAGTTAGCGTAATGGCTATGTCGCTGGACTCCCATGTAGTCGACCGCGGTTCGCGTCCCGGACCCGGTGGCTTAAAACTCACACCGGGCGCGTGTGCATGTGTGCCCAAGATCCTGAGAGGAGAATGGAGGAGAGGGGATTGCGGTGTGACCATCCTCCCTGGGGGGGTGATTTCTCGCTTTCTGTCTCTCTGTCTCTGTCTGTCTGGCGAGCGCACGTGCCCTATAGCAAAAACCTCTCCAAAAAAAAAAAAAGGCATGCTCCAAGCATCAGAGTCACAGTGATTCTCTTATTACACTCCACCAGTGGTTCTAAGTCATTCTACACTTTAGGTAGCTTTTACTGTGAATGGCTTTAATTTTCACATATCCTCAAATTTTAGACTGGTAGTTTTCAAACTTGGCTGCACAATGGAATAACTTAAGGAACTTTAAGATATCTGTGGGCTAGTAATTAAGGGAGCAGGATCCAAATATGACTGACTGCCATATTTGAGTCCCAGTCCTGACCGCCTGAAAAACACAATGGCACATGCGCATATGTGCCCAAAATTCTGACGGAATGAAGAAATGGAGACGAGATTGCATGTCCCATGCCCCGTTGGGGGTGCTTTCTTTCTCTCTCACATATGCTCTCTAACAACAAAAAAAGAAAAAAAGAAAAGAAAAAAAAAAGGAAGGAAGGAAAGAAGAGGCGAGAAAAGGAAAAGAAATCTAGTAGATGATCCCATGTGTACAATTTCTGATTGAATTAGATGGGGATGTGGCCTGACCATCTGGACTTCTGAAATTTTGCTGGTGATCTCAATGAGTAACCAAGGTTGAAGTCTCAGACCATTAATATCAGTCATGTCTCGTAGAGTCAAAGGTAATGAAATGCACTAAGTCTTCAGCAACAAGAGCAGAAAAGTGAAACCCAGTACCAATTGATGGTTTATAGAACATTTTATTTCTTTTTAGGTTGCAGCTGTCTCCTTTACAACCTTCCACTGCTAAAATTGGTTCATACGATGTGCTTTGTACTCAGTTTTTGTGACACTTTATTTGGTAACTGTTATTTGGATGAAGAGCTGATTTTGTTTTCAAGCCTTTTATTTTCTTGCGTAGATACTCTAGAAGTGTGGCAAGGAAAAGAGTTGTGTAAAATTTTGTCCGATTTTTGATACTCATGTTTCAAAAACTAATTTTTTTCCCTGTTTAAGATTTAACATGTATTGTGTTCCCAGTATTGATGTAAAGGTCATTCTTTTGCAGTCTTCTTAGACGCCCTGATGTGCTGGATCCAGGCTGGAGGGCATCAGGTTCTAGTAGGTGTAGCAGGCTGTGAAGAGCGACTGGGTGGAAGCAGCTCCAGAAGAGCCACTGTGAATGTACTGTCCTTTGGCTGCCTGGCAGTTAGCCTAAAAAGCAAGTGTTAGAGAGGGCACAGAGTTAGAATCAAGGCAGCCTTGACCATGCGTACTTTTTTACTTTTTTTTTTTTTTTTGAGAGATTTTCACTGTAGGGCGCGTGCGCTCGCCAGACAGACAGAGAGAGACATAGAGACAGAAAGCGAGAAATCAACCCCCAGGGGGGATGGTCACGCCGCAATCCCTTCTCCTCCATTCTCCTCTCGGGATCTTGGGCACGCACGCACACGTGCCTGGCGTGAGTTTTAAGCCACCGGGTCCGGGACACGAACTGCGGTCGACTATGTGGGAGTCCAGCGACATAGCCATTACGCTAACTGCTGGTTCCCACTATGCGTAATTTTCATGTGACATTAGTTATGCCTTCGTCTGGATTTTTTCTCCTTATACTGATACTGCTGAATACTGCTGCTGACACCATTTCCTCCTTTCTAAAATATGTTCTCTGTCTTTTTAGTCCAGTTTTCTGAGTGTTTATTTGGCAAGTCTGAGGTTTGTGTCAGTTCCTCAAAAAGCTTCTTTTTAGTACCAACAATATTGCAACAATAGAAGTAAAAATTAAAGCTGGGGCTAGTTTTGGTGGCACAATGGTAATATAATACTCTGTGATGCTACGGACGTACAGGAAGGTCCCTGGTTCACATTTCTGTACACACAGAGGATGTATGCACATGCCTGTAATCCTGGCTGACTGGGGCTTGGGGTAGAATGCAGCATGAAGACACTGGTGGGGACACCTCTCTCTCTCTCTTTACCTCTCTCTCCCTCATGTAAGAAATAAATAGGTAATTTAAAAAAAAAGAAGAAATTAAAGTGGAGAAACTTCTGTCTAGTATAGTACACTATAGTAGAAAGTGTTCATTTAAAACTTTTTCCATTTCCCACCTGTATTTGTCCACAAGAATATGTAAGTTTGGGCTGGCCCTCTAGCACATTAGTTAATCGTTGTGTAGAGGAAGCTAGATCCCACATAGCTGACCAGGATTCAAGTCCTAGCCCAAGTGGTTTACATGCCAGCTTCCTGTACCCAGGATTCTGGCAGAATGGGGAAATGAAGGAAAAAGGATTGCAGTGTGACCAGGCCCCAGTGGGGGTTGCTTTCTCTCTCTCTCTATGTCTCTCTCCCACACACATGCACATGTGCACCTGCATGCACAAACCTTCCGGTTAGTAAAAATATATATATAACTTAAAATATAGGTAATTGTGGGACCAGCAGATGTCATAATGGTTGTGACACTAGACTCCCACATGGTTGACCACTGTTCGAGTCCAGGATCTGGAGGCTTGGGACTCACGCCAGTCACATGTGTGTGCATGCCCAAAATCCTGAGAGGAGTGTGGAGGAAAAGGGATTGTGGCATGGCCATCCCCCTTGGGGGGTGATTTCTTGCTTTCTCTCTCTCTGGTAAATGTACACGCCTCTAGCAAAAATCTCTCTCAAAAAAAGAAAAAGAAAAAAACACAAGTTATTTTTATGTAGTCATTATCATAGCATCATTTGATTTCTTATGTTAATTCCAATAAAGGTAAACTCAGAGCTCTGAAACTCATAGTGCTATTGAAATGGTACTTTTTTCTGTTTTCTTCAGGATTTCCACATCTTATATCAACACTTCTCAAAATGTGTTGCATGGTTGTTTTTTTTTGTTTTTTTTTTTTTTTTTGAGAGGTTTTTGCTATACAGCACAAGCGCTCACCAGAGAGACAGAAAGCAAGAAATTACTCCCCGGGGGAATGGCCACGCCGCAATCCCTTCTCTGTTCTCCTCTTGGGATCTTGGGTGCACACACGCGCCTGGCATGAGCTTAAATCACCAGGTCTGGGACTCAAACCGCGGTCAGCTACATGGGAGTTCAATGACATAGCCATGACGCTAACTGCTGGTCCCTGTTGCATGGATCTTTACCACTATTTAGGAACTTGCTGAAATGGAAAGTCTTTGGACTTGATCAGACCAAAAGAATTAGAAACTCAGAAGATGAGGCCTAGTAACCTGCATTTAATAAGCCTTCCAGGTGTTTGGATACACGCTGAAGCTTGAGAACAGCTTTCTGGATAATGAACTCAGCTTCCCTTCTGTGTGGATGACTCCTTCTGACCTGTACTTTCACAGGCCCTCCATCATGTGAACTCCAACTCCCCAACCTATCAGATCCACACCAGCTCTGCCAGACTCTGCTTTCCATCATCAAAGTAAAACACTCCCTCAAAAATCTCTAACATCTCTTATGCCTCTGAGATGTTTTTTGTTTTTATTTGTTTTGGGATCTTTCTTTCCTTTAGGGCCAAACTTCTGGCTACACTTGATTCCTCGCCCAGACTTCTCTACAGTCAGCAAGCTAAATGAGGCTATCACTAAAATTCATCACTCTTCTGTCCTGTTACTTTCCATTCAGATTTATCTGAATCTCCTTGCATACTTTAGAGAGCTGTTAGGACAATTCAAGGACTAGCCTAATGTACTACAAACTCACTCTTATTTCAGTTGTACCTTACTTAATGCTTTAGCTATAATATCTGGTCAATTTCTTAGCAGAATTTTTTTTTGATTGCCAGAGGACACATATGCTTGCCAGAGACAGAGAGAGACAAAGAGAGGAGAAAAGTACCCCTACAGCAGAGCATGGTCATATCACAACCCCTTCTCCTGCATTTCTACATCCTGTAGGGATTTGGGGTTCACATGCAGCCAGCATGTTTTTCAGGCCTCCAGGCCTGGAATTCAAACTGCAGCTGGGCCATGTGGAATCTGGATCCTGTAGCTACTACACTATGGGTCAGCTACCCACCAGAATCTTTCAACAGCTATTCTAACCTTCCTCACTAGCAGAATTGAAATCTTCATTACTTTATCATGCTCAGCACTCTCTCCTCTGGCTCCTCTTGTTTTACATTTCAACGTGTCCATCTCTAGGACCAGCAGATGGTTACATCACTGAACTCTCACATAGTAGACTGTGGTTCAAGTCCTGGACCCAGCAACTTAAAACTCACACCAGGTGCATTTCCAAGATCTCAAAAGGAGAAAGCAGAAGGGAAGGGATTGCTGTGTGGCCATCCCACCTGGGGTTGATTTCTCGCTTTCTGTCTCTATGTCTCTGTCTCTCTGGCGAGTACACATATTCTATAGCAAAAATATCTCTCTAAAAAAATTTAAAATAAATTAAAAAAAAAAGATACATGTACATTTTTATCCTATTTGATGAAATGCTAAGCTCCTTAAGGGCAGTAGCTATGTCTTAGTTGTTCACCCCAGTCCTTGCTTCATAAGTAGGTATTAAAACAATAATGGTTACCAGTTGAATAAACCTTTCATCATTCTCATTTTTCTCAGTAACCTAAGTCTTCCTTCTGACAAACTTTTTGGATGGACACCTTTCCTCCTCTCTATTGAAACTGTTTTGTTGAGGGTCACTGATATGCTGCTAAATGCCAAACTTGTGGCTTTTCCCAGGCTTTGTTTTGAATCTCTCTGTCATATATTATTATTAGCCCCTTGAAACTCTTCTGTATTTGTTCTCAGAATCCCTGGTTTATCTTATCACATAATTGCCGTCTTTCCTGGTGATTTCAACTTTCTGAAATGAAAGGTGTCTTGGGTTCAGTACTTGGCCTGCTTCTTTCCAAAGCATGCCTGTGGAAATTGCCCTTTCATCTGTGTCATTAGTATACTACCAGTATAAATAATTTAAAACGTTCTCTAGCCTAATTTTCATACTGAATTCAGATACCACATTTTCAAGCATCTCCTATTTATTATGTGAAAGTACCCATATAGCCCAAAGACAACAATGCTTTGTGAGAGAGTTAGGCTCCAATCCAATCAAGTAGGAAGGAGGTAGTAGCAGCTTACCACAGCCCGCTTCATAAAAGCCTCCTGGGTTGCCTTCTTGTTTGCAGGTTTGCCACCCCAGGCAGCCAATGCACTGGCCTGCAGGGCCCGTCCATAAGAGAAACTAAGTTTCCAGGGCTTCGGTAGAGGGCAAAGGTTGATAGCATTGAGATTGAGAGTAGCATCCTCTTCACTCATGCCACCAGACAAAAAGCAGATGCCTGGAAGGGAAGAGGCCATGCCACCCTATTAGTTCCAATGTATTTACCCTGCTTGAGAAAATAAGCAGTTGACCTAAAGGTAATGTAATGTCTACATCTTTTCTCCATTTGATTTGCACGGGATTGAGTTGGAGAAATCAGACTGTCTTTGCTCAGACTAGTTGGGCTGAGAGAAGGAGAACGGTGCAGCCTTAAGGAAATAAATGGATTGTGTGCACTTGGACAGAATAAGGAGACTTGTGTCAAGAAGTGAGAGGGGAAGTGTGGGCTGCTTGTGAGATAGAAGAGATCTGTTTCTAGACAAACACAAATGCTTGTGGCACTCCATCATAAGAAGACCAGGGCCTTGAGGTAGAGAAGGAAGAAGGTCTTACCAGGCACAGCTGCAGGAACAGTACGATGAAGAGCTGTGACAGTGGCCAGGGCCACTTGTTCTGGAGTATACTTCTTGGTGCAGGCATGCCCAGCAGTCACCATGTTGGGCTTTAGCAGGGTCCCCTCCAGGAAAACATGATGGTCATTCAGGGCCTTGTACACAGCAGCCAGGACCTAAAGAACAAGAGGCCCAAGCAGGTAAAACCTAGAGCCAGTTTTAGAGTCACTTAATTCTGACACTTCTACACTATAGGATAAAGGAATTTTATATACTGCTTAGCCTAGAAAGCTTCGAAACCCACCTCCAGGATTCATCAAGGCAATGGTTTACAAGCTGTAGCCACTGAGCACAATAAAACTGGCCTATCCCCACCACTCCTAGTCTAGCTACTCCATCGCATGAATTATTGGCATGACTCTGCTTCCTAGAGGCCCTTAACTCCTTTCTTGGTCAATGTCCTTTCCTATTGAGAATGCCTTTATTTAGCTAGTTGGGAACAGGTAAACTGGTTTTCACTCTGTCCACATAGAATCGGAGTGGCCATTAAAAACATACATTTTAGAGACAGTGCTTTCAGATTTCATTTGAGTCCACATACATTTCGCAAGTGAAGAAATTAATGTCAAGACACATTATGACTCTTTAACTTTCTCAGTGTATGAAGAGAACCGTCCTATTTTAGAAAGTCAAATATGAACAAATTACTTTCTAATTACATTTTCTCATGTGAGTCTCATATCTTATTTTTGAAATTTCTTAGTGTACACTTGATGGAACTGAAGTCCCAGAGAAATAATATGACTTTCTCAAGGTCCTAAAGGTGGGAAAGTAATTTTTTAATCCAAGTTTTGATACTATGAATCCTGTCTTACATAAGGAAAATACCATGTGCCAAAAAATAGTTAAGAATTGATTAGCCTTCTTCTGTTCTCAATGCTACGTAAATGATTTTAATCTCAGTTAGAATCACTTAGTTTTTCTACTTGCAAAAATTATATGGACTGAAATAAAATCTGAAAGTATTAGCATTTTGGGAAAATCATGACATATTTTTGCATAGAAAAACACATCATTACTTTCCTGACAACCTAATACTTCTGTCTCTAAAATGTATGTTTGTAGATCCATCCAACTTTTTTTTAGAAGAGTTGTTTTATTTAACTTTATTTATCCATTTATTTATTATAATTTTACCAGAAAGGGACAGAGTGAAATAGAGAGAGAGAGACAGTGAGAAAGCAAGCCACCAGGTCTGGGACTTGAACTGTGGTTGGCCATGTGGGAGTCCAGCACTCTTAACCATCATGCCACCTGCTGACCCCAGGACCATACAACTTCTATGGGATACCAGGTGAAAGTCAGTTTAGGTGTCTCCAACTAGTTAAATCAAATATATAAATATATATTTCAAATGTAACAGCTGTTATACGTTATGCTCTGGCTGTTACTTAGAAATAATATTTTTCAACTAGAATTGGGACCTTGGTATTTAAGACTTACCTTCTCAGTAACATATTGGCAGTGTTCCAGGTCATGGTCTCCATCAGGAATTACCTCTGGTTCAACAATAGGTACCAGCCCATTCTAAAAATAAAAAGGTGAGAGACAAAGTGAGGCTGTGCCCACCATGATCCTTTCCTTAGGAAGGTATCAACAGTTACAATTGATCTAAAATGAAGCCTTATGAAGAAATATTGTGTAAGTGACTTAAAGGCAGTGTTATGAAGAAATATTATTTAAGTGACTTAAAGTCAGCCTTATGAAGAAATATGTAAGTGACTTAAAGTCAGCCTTATGAAGAAATCTTATGTAAGTGACTTAAAAAAGCAGTGAAGAAATTGATGGGATATCTGAGTGAATATTTTAGCTTAGCCAAAAAATAACAGTGGGGTTTTTAAAAAGTTCTTTGGGAAAGGGGTAAAAAAATAAATACAGGGACCAGCAGTTAGCGTAATGGCTATGTCGCTGGACTCCCACGTAGCCAACCGCAGCTCATGTCCCGGACCTGGTAGCTTAAACTCACGCCGGGCGCGTGTGCATGCGTGCCCAAGATCCTGAGAGGAGAATGGAGGAGAAGGGATTGCGGTGTGGCCATCCCCTCTGGGGGGTGATTTCTTGCTTTCTATCTCTCTGTCCCTCTCTGTCTGGCGAGCGCACGCGCCCTATAGCAAAAACCTTTCAAAATAAATAAATAAATAAATAAATAAATAAATAAATAAATAAATACAAACTCTTACTTTCTGTATCTTATTCTAATAATATCCTCACTAACCCTGGTACCCAGCTACCATCCTTTTAGAACAAATTTAAGTCACTAAGAAAGAGCCTCTAGTGTGTGTTAAGTAATTGAAGCAGTGTTTAATGATTAAGTTGGGAATTTCCAGGTGCCCACAACTCCAATCACTCCAACATAGTACCCATATAAGGGAATGCAACTTGTACTTGTCCCCACAGACACTTCAACATGTTCTGGACAATTCAGCGTCAAAGCAGCATCCTCTAAGAAATACTTGAATTGGAACCAGGTCAGAGCTATCATCCAAATAGAACTGTAAGAGGGTCATGCCTTGGACTTCATGGAATATGAATAAGCAAGTAGCCTGGGTTCATTTTTAAGACTTGAAAGAGAGTGTTTTGATAGGTGGCAACAGTTCATAGCATTAGGTTTTTGAGCTCACTGGGACTCCTGCTGGCTTGTGGCACCAAATTTTTTCCTATCATATTTGGTTATAGCAAATAGAAAAATGCTATCAGGATATACTGGTGATGAAAGAGAGGGAACAATATGTTGTATAGTGAAATCGAAAGAAGGCTCTGTAGAAAAATCCAGCCAACTGTTTTTTAGCCGAGGGGAAAGGCAGAGCACCTGCTGACAGATGCTGGCATAGCGAGCCAGGGCGTTGGCATTTTCCTGGATAGCTAGGCTTGATGGACACTGGTCAGCAATCTTCAGCACAGCACGCCATTTCCCAAAGTCAACACCGTCTTTCTTGTACTGAGCACAGCGCTCTGACAGGCCATCAAGCCCTGGAAGTACCAAAGGAAGATAGGTTGCTTTAAGGCCCTGCACCTGATCTGTAGGGTCTCGTATAAAGTGAAAGTGTTCTCCTTTGGCTTGGCATTCAGGCTGTAGAGCTCGAGGACTAAAAGTACCCAAACAAATAAGCATTAATTACAGTTGAGGGCCGAAAGACCTGGCTTTCATAAATATGGTTTTGATATATATAGTGAATATACTCCATAAATAGAATGGAGGGACTATTTAATATTATATTCATTTTACAGATGTGGATTTTGAGCCCCTAAGAAATTAAGCTTACCAAGTTTGTCTAGCTAAAGAGTGACAGAGCTGGGATTCAAATTCTGTTTAGGTAACCCAATTCTGTGATTAGTCCTCATCTGCTGGGGTAGTGAAGCACCTTGCAAAATTATCTAAATGGTTTATGGTGGAACCAGGATTTAAACCTAGGTATGAGGGGAACATCAAAAAGTTCACAGAAAAATGTAATTAAAGTACAAGTTTATTTTGGTGGAAAAAAATTTGAAATCTCTGCAGTTTTCTCATAATATACATTTTTTTTCCCTGTGAACTCTTTGAAGATTCCAATGCTTGGATCCTTTTCTCTCTACTGCTGTTGAATTTTTCTGCAAAAATAATAGTTCCAAGTACAGAACTTCAGTATACAACTTCCCTGTACAAGGTACTGAGGTGTGTATTAGGACACCAGGGAAGTCATGATGCATTTTTGCATAGAAAAATATGTCATGACTTCCCTGACAACCCAATACTTTAATGTACCTTGTCTAATTTAATCCCCACAATATTCTGCACAATTGTTATCCCATGTAAGATAAGAGAACTGAGGGTGAGAACATTTAAGTGACTGACCTCATAGAGTTACTAAATAGAGGAGCAGGGATTGAAAAACAGGTGTGCATAGCTATAAAAAAAGTTTAATAGTCATATTTTGTTTCTGCTTGCTCCTTTCTCTACTTGTTTTCATTTCTAGCAGATTGAGGGGGGGTCTTCAAAAGGCTCATGACAACTGAGGATTATGAAAAAAAAAATAAACCTATGCATGCATTTCCATTTTTTGTTGTTGCATAAAAATAAGCTTGTACTTTAATTCTATTTGTCCATGAATTCCTTAAAGTCCTTTCATATGGGATTGGCATGATTCACACCTGTGAACAATATCCTTACCTTGAATGGTGGTTTCTTGGTTTGTTCCTGCAAGGGGAGCACCTCCTTGGTCTAACTGTGGATACAAATAATTAAGAAGTAATTAGCAGGTGTCAGATAGCAGTAAAATGCAAGCAGAGCTCCTGGTTGTAATTAGAAGAGTTCTCATCTTTTGCAAACCAAGGAGTTGAATGGGGAAGGTTATAATAGTCACTGGGGGACACAGTTCAGTCCACAGAGAAAGGGAGAAACCATGTGATAATGAAGAAACCATGTGATAATGCCCCCTTGACATTGGCTGAGCTCATACCAGGCACTGCATTAATACAGGAGGTAAAGAGAATAAGGATGCAGACTCTACCCTCAACAAAGATCATGAGCCTAAGAGTTAGATAACCTGCATTCACACGGGCTCTAACTTTGCCTTACTGGATGGGCAAGTTAAATTACCCCATGCAGTTAAGCTTTCTCACCTTGTTTCTCTCTAAAATAAGGATAATCACTGAGTCTACTTCCAGAAATGGTAAAGAGGATTAAATGTGTGCTTGGAGTTATAAGCACTTAGCAAGTACTAGTTTTCACTTTGAGAAGTTTGTTTAGTATTGGAAGACCTATTGAAGCAGGACAGCAGGACTGCAGCCATTATGAAATTAAGAAATGCCTCGGGGTCAGAAGAAAGCATACTGGTTATATCACTGGACTTCCACAGAGTTGACTGTAGTTGAGACCCGGTCCTGGCAGCTTGAAGCTCATGCCAGGCATGTGTGCATGCGTGGCCAGGATCCCGAGAGGAAAATGGAGAAGGGATTGCAGTGTGGTCATCCCTCCAGGTGGTGATTTCTCGTTTTCTGTCTCTGTCTCTCTGGTGAGCATACATACCCTGCAGCAAAAATCTCTCTCTAAAAAAAATAAATAAAAGGCCCTTCATGAGAAAATCTGACCAAGTGCTGAGTCATGAGATCTAGTAGAGGAATGGTCAGGTGAGAAACCAGGAATGGGTATCTGAAGGAATCAAGATAATTACTCAGGGGTGAGCCATTGATGATGGATTGTAATGAGGAATCCATGTTTGTATCTTTTACCTATCAATACCAAGAACATGTTGAGCTTTTCAAGACAGTTGATGGTACTTGCTGATTATCTTTCTATAACTGATTACAGAAATAAAATCCCTTCATCTTTAGCCTCTGCCTCTCATTTCATTGACAACGAGAAGCAGCAGACAGATTTAGTTGACCAGTAACACTAGTTACAAGATAGAACAGAAGATACTTTAATAATAATAGCTATCATTGACTGACTAGTTATTATGTGATAGAACTATTATAAAATCTTTTTTCACCCTTGTAAAAACTTTATAAGGGAGATTCTATTATTCCAGTTTTTTAAAAGATTGTTTATTGGTGTCAACAGGTGGTGCGTGATGGTTAGGGTGTTGGACTCCCACATGGCTGACTGCAGTTGAGTCCTAGAACTGGTGGCTTGCTTTCTCACTTTCCCTTTCTCTCTCTCTTTCTCTCTCTGGTCAAATTAAAATAATAATAATAACAAATTAAATTAAATTAAATTTTATTATTTATTTTTAAAATTTGACACGGAGAGACAGGAAATGACAAAGCAAACTGCCTGTTACCAGACAGAAACTGCGGTCAGCCATGCGGTACATATAACCACCATGCCACCTGCTGGCCTCTATTCCTGTTTTAAGAAATTTGGAAATTAAGATGTGAAGATATTAAGTACCTTGTAGAAAACTTGGTTGAAAGAAGGGAGAACTAGAAAAAAGTCTAGAAGAGGATCTGGTCCTCAGTGGGATGATGAAGATGATGGAAGAGAGTGAGAACAGAAATCAGATGATGAGAATATTCAGAATATTGGCCCTGCCCTGGGCAGGTACTGGGAGTTTCCTAGGATAAGGCAGAGGTGAAATGTGAAGGAAGTATTCACCTTGATTCCCACCACAATTCCTTTCTCTTTGAGGATATTTCTGAACAGTTTTCCCTGGCTGTCCTTCTGGTAGAGGGTCTCGTGAAAGAGGATTACACCCCCAATGCTCTGGCTGATGGAATTGTCTACAGAGAAGAGGATTTCTCGGAACTGCCGGCGGTTCTCTTCGGTATTTTCCACCTTGATCCTCTGCAGGCGGTTTCCCATGGTGCCTAAGGTGGGCGAGCCAAAGCCAAAAACAACATAAGGAGCAAGCCAGGAATTTCAGTGATCCTCACTAGGTAGAAAAGCAAGATAGTTTTTTTTTTTTAATTTAGATCTTCAAGATCTTGCCTTGCTTTTGTCTCCCTGGAGAAGACTTTGGTTGCTGTCAGGATGTTGGCTAGTAGGTGGGAGGATGGTCATAGGAGGTCAAAATGGAAGCCACCATTGGTTCCAGGTGGATACGTAAGACCCTCTGGCCTCTCCAACCTTCCCATGATCCTGCTCTCAATCTCCCTGCATTTACAGACAATGGAGGAAGGATGAGGCAGCTTCTTGACTTCTTTGGCTTCTGTCATATTATGGTGGACTGTGCAATCCTGCCATATCCCTCCCTTGTGCCATCCTGAGATTGTCTCAGCCACAAGCCCAACCCTATTTCAGATGCAGATACTTCCTTGCCTTTCCTGACATGGCTGACTTTAACCTAACTTCTCACTGGCACCGCAGACGGCTGTGTATCTGACCTTATCCTGGCTACTGAGTTCCTAGACTTGCCACAGGCTGGCTTCAAATGACCCCTAAAATGGTAGGCTTGAGCCTCTGTTTTTTGGTTTTCAGGAATCTTCCCGCTAGAACTACAGGACCCAAAATGTCTCTGCATGTTGCATCTTTTGTTCCCACTCCTATGTACATAAACCTTCACTTTCTCTGAGAAGAAAGAGACTATGGTATCGAGTCACCTTGACTAAGTGTAGAAACAAGCGTATATTGTTGTACAATGAAACTGTTTCTTACACTCACCTACAGATTCATCTGCAGCCAGGATCCCCTTTCCATTGGCAACAATGCGCTGGGCAATCTCGGAGAGCTCCTTCTTCTGTTCTGGGGTGAGGGCTGGGAATCGGTGGGCCATGGTGACAGGTCTAGAAAAGAGTAAAGAAGAGACATACACAGAACTGTGAGTGGCTCAGACAGATTTATAACCAAGACAGTTGGGGTGAGAACTGTGGGTGGCTCAGACAGTTTCATAACCAAGACAGTCAGGGTGTTCTGACAAACCATGTGGGCTCCTCTGATACTCTGATACTGGCCCCTTATCACAACCAGATCAACAAAGAGGGGGCTGTTTTTCCCACTTACATAAGGATGGGGGGAAATAGCCATAAAGGATGAAGGTGGGATGCTGAATATTCATAGTAACCCTAAGTAAAATGCTTGGGGCAGCAGGGTGGCATGATAGTTAAGGCACTGGATTCCCACCTGGCCAACTGCAGTTCCAGTCCCAGACCTGGCAACTTGCTTTCTCACTTTCCCTCTCTCACTATTTCTCTCTGCTCAAGTGAAATAATAATAATGATAATAATAAAATTAAATTATTTTAAAAATGCTTTCCACGAGATTATTAGAATTACTGTTCCTAAGACAGAACAAGCTAATTTGGTAACCTAAAATCTGACAAACAGAGGAAACTATAATAATTGACTCTCTTCTATGGATTTCTAGCACCATCAGGTGCTTTGGATGGCTGGAGGTCGGACAGTAAAGCTTAGTCCTCTGTGATTATTCCCCCACTTTGCTCTGTTAGCCTGAAGTTCCCATGAATTAAGTTCCAGGCAAGTTTGAGAGGAAAAATCTATACACAGTTGTCCTCCCTTCAGCTTTGGGTAGTAGAGAGAGGGGTGCAAGTTTCCTTTTCTTATATCAACAATCTATAAGACCATCTTGAGAAGACTGGGGAGGATTTCCCTAATACCTCATAGCCTCTGAGAATACTGAAGTCACAGGGTGAGTCCTGATCCAGTATTTCTCAACTTCACTGCTTTCGCAAGGAGAGACTCTGGCTCAAAGACCCCCTTCTAAAACAGCCTCCTCAGCAGGGGTTCTCTGAAGGTGATTATTGTCCCAGTTTGGCTGTCACTTTTGTTTAGTCCAGAAAATGCAAGCTCACAGGGCTCTTGTTTGGGGTGTTAGAGTGTTTTTTGCATAGGTTGAGTTATCATAGTTTCCTATCCAGCCTTATGATCTCCCTTTTCTGTCTCTACATCCAATATACTCAGCACAGGGTGGATGCCCCATGCCTACACATTATTTCTGGAAAGCCCAGAGATGCCTTGGCTCTCATTTGATCCACTTGGCATAACCATGGCAGGCAATACCCTCAATAATTAATAAGCAAGCTAAGGCTTAAAGAAGTTAACTAACTTGCCCAAGGTCCCAACTGGGATGAGGCAGAGCTCCCCAACTTGTCCTGCTCTTCTGATAAGCCATTCCTTCCCATTTTCTGCATCCCTTTAAGGCAGGCTCTCAGTACCTTTTCCCTTGATATAAAGAGTCCATGGTTACTGAACTAACTAATGAGAAGGTATAAATGATGATCTCACTGTTGCCACTCTCCACCTTAACAGAGGTTCTTGTCTTAATCCAAAAGAATGGAACCACAGTGCTGCCATGGGGCGTCTAGGGCAAGACAGTGGACAACTTTTTCTAGAGAAGATGATATTCTAAGGACTGGTGGATGCTGTTTGCCCTGCTTAACTATTAACCACTAATATTGTAGTCAGGGACTTTTAGCATTGGTCCTGGTTACCAGATCTTCATGCTCACACAAGCCACGCTAATGGTGGTAACCTTCAAACCAAAATGCAAATTTTCTCTCTCAGTTTAGGTGTTTGCACAAAGTTAACAATGACCCAAAACAAAGATATTTCCTTAATGAAACAAAAGTAACACATAGTCCAGTAATAATAACAACAAATGATCATTTATTGCTTAGCATTTCTTTACATGCACTATAGGATTTATTCTTCACAATAACCCTAGAAGGCAGTTGTGTTCCCACCTCCCATATCCACATTTCATAGGTTAGGAAAGAAAGTAAGGAAGTTTAAATGATTTGTCCAAGAACAAACAATTAATGAGGGAAAACGTTGGACTAAGGTGCAGTGCTTCCCTCTACTAAGGAAAGAATGAACTTTATGGAAAGGAATCAGCATTTGGACGATTTCTAAAGTCTTCAATGACAACCTCAGAGTATCATAGGTCAGTATCTCTACACCACTGATGTTCCCAATTCATAAAGATTCACACACGCATATAGAGGTTTGGTATTGGTAGACCAGACATTCCTGGGTTCAAGGACTAGCTCTGCCTCCCCTAGCTGTATCCTTGGGTGAGTCAGGTAACTTTCTCTTACTCTTAGTTTATGGATTAAATGGTGATACTATCTGCCCTGGTTGTGTCATTGTCAAGTGGTTCAAATATAACCTGTGAGTATCTTGCTCATTGTATCACCAGTTGCTCAAAGAGTATTTTTTGAATTGCATGATACAAAAATGCAAACACTGCTTCTCTCTTTTTAAATTTTTTAAAAAGTAATCACCTAAGGGACCTTCATGTTTCTATTTATTACCAAGCTATTTTCTTCAGTCTGAATGTGCTGACTCAACCAGAACCACAGAGAAAGGTCAAGTTAAACTAACGCTGTTTACAGAAAGTTAAACTTCTACAGAGGGAATAAAGGTCTATGCCACATCAGCACAAAATGTTGCCCCTCTGTTAATCATAAAACAAGGTCAAAGGCCAATGTTCACCACTGGGGAGACAGGAGACAGCTAGGAATGGATAATAATAGAAAATGATTTCCTTGTCCTTAAGTCTCTCCTTACTGAGATCTCGAGCCCCATTTTTGAAGAACTGTCTTAGAAAATTGTGCACATTGCTTTGTGAAGTGAAATAAAGCAAGATTAAGGAAAGTATGCAATGTATATTATTAACCTTTATTTTAATTAAAAAAATGGTATGCACATATACTGTTTGTGAGTCTATATAATCAAAGAGTAGCCACCCTGGGATTACCTCTGGGGAATGGGATAGAGAGACTCACATTTCATTTTATTTTTAATTTCTTAATAAAACTGTATATATGTGTATATGTGTATATACATACGTAGTATGTGATTTATTATATATATTTGTAACAGGTAATACATACAAATCTGGAAGAAGGTTGTGAGTATTAACAAGTAAGAATAGAAGGTAACAAATAAACAAACAAAAAACTAGAGCTCCAAATGACCTCAAGAATTTGTTGTCTCAACTCTGCCATTTTAGAGAAGAAGAGACTGAGGACGAGGGAAATTATATCTGAAGTGCAAGTCACATCCTACTGGCTTAGGATTTGGAATTCTATTTTTAGTTCTTCTTCAGCAAAGAAACAGATGGAACCCTACAGTATAGTTCTTCCTGCCTTCCTTGTAGAAGTTCTGTGAAAACACAATGATTTGTAAAATATGTTTAACTCCTGGAGAGATATTTGACAATACATATCTCTGCTGAGAGTCCATTTCCTTCCCCACAGACAAGGTGGATGCATTTCCAAGAAGACGCACATGAGGAGGTTTACTCATTGCAAGGCCGTGGTTGCTAGGCACTGTATGCAGCACTTTTACCTATAGATGCATGAGGATGCCCACAGCTTCCTTAGCCTCTCCAATGCCATGGTGACAAGCACAGTGAAATTGAGAGCAGAAGTAGGGCAGACTATTCCTTGGTGCATCGGAACACACATGGAGCAGCCCAGAAGAGATGGAAGTTTTAGGTTTTCAGCAACTCCACCCGATTTCCTGCCCCAACACCTCCAACTCTAACCTGGGCCTGGGTGTTTCCTAACTGTGCCTTGGCCAAAGTGAGCTTACGCCTCTGTTTCTTCCAATTTGGCTAATGGAACCCTAGGTAACTGTTGAAAGAAAAGTTTATAAGAAGAAAGAAGGCAACATATTCTCACAATATGCCTATTTTTCAGCTAGTCAAGCAAATGTACAGAATACATCTACACCTTTTGGTTACTAATATCTTAAGCCATAAGGTCTTCTCTGTAGTGCCAGAGAAAATCTTGTAGAAAGTATCAGTCAGGGGAGGGTTTCCAGCCCTGTTCCATTTCCTTATTTGAAAAGTAGGTGAAGCAGGCAAAATGCTCGAAGAGTTCATTTCTGTGGCAGTACCAGTAGGTGTGGGAAGAGGATGTAGGAAATAATGTTAGGCAGTGGGTATGTAAACAAATCACTGCGATAAGTACCAGTTGTTATGGAAAGAGAGAACAGAAATGATCAAGAATCAAACTGATTAAAACCTAGCCAAACAGGAATGTTCACGGTGTGTTTTCCTAGACTGAAGACTCAGAGGTGCCTCACACAGGTAATTGGCAATCAATCCTGAGGCTTTTACTGCCACTCAGCCAGCCAGGGAAGTTGTGAATGAGGATGTATGAGACAGAAAAACAATGAGCAGATCCATCAGGTTTTCAGCCATCATCAAATTATTCCTGAAAACAAAGGCAAACAAATATCTCCTCTACAGGCTTTATGCTATCATTAACCGCTTATTCACTGGTGTAGTCTGGGTATATAGGAAAGTTCTCTTACTTACAGTTTGAGAGAGAGGCGTTCTCTTAGTAGAAGCTGTGGGTGAGGCAGCAGCTGCCAAATAGGACGGATTGTTGGGAACACCCCGTTTTTATAGACTTCTCACCAAAGGTTTTTTTTTTTTTTAAACTTTGGCCCTCCCTTTCTCACGTTGGTCTCATAGGGAGGTGTTTATTCAATACCTCCGATTGGCCCATAAACAACCAATTGTTATATAATTATGCACGCAGACTCCTCATGTTCATAGAATGTTAGAGCTGCTAGGAAAGTCTTCAGGCCACGTAGTTCTTAATGTGAATCCTCTATTTCACAGGTGTGGAAACAGAGGTACAGAGCATTAGAAGATTCCCCTAAATCACGCAGCTAGTCAATGACTAGTGGAGTCCATCAAGGGATGAAGGAAAGACTGTTAGCATAGTTCTAGCACTTACTAAAAACATGACCTTGATTGAAGTTTTTGTTGTTTTATTTTCACTTTTCTGAGCCTTAGATTCTCTGTAAAGTGAGATCTTAACTTCATAGGAGCATTAAATGAATTCGTAAAGTGCCTATACACAGTAGGTATTCAAGAATCATTATTATTTTTTTTTTAGAGGGTTTTGCTTTAGAGCACATATGTTCACCAGAAAGACAGAGTGAGACAGAGAGACAAAAAGTGAGAAATCACCCCCCGGGGGGTGGGGGATGGCCACACCGCAATCCCTTCTCCTCCATTCTCCTCTCAGGATCTTGGGCACGCACGCACGTGTGCCCGCCATAAATTTAAGCCACCGGGTCTGGGACTCAAACCGCGGTCAACTACATGGGAGTCCAGTGACGTAGCCATTATGCCAACTGCTGGTCCCAAGAATCACTATTTTCTAATTAAGCAAACAATGCTGCATTTTTATCTTTAAAGCTTCACTAATAGCTACCTCCAACATTTTACTCTACAATTTATAGTTAAGTGTTAAATTATCTTTCAGTGAAAACAAATAGATACGGAATCCTTGAATTTCCTATGGGGAGATTTTTGTTTTAAGAGTAAATAACATGTAAAACATTATATTGAAAAAAATCATTCAGGCTCACCCCATAGTCTACTGGTTAAAGGGAATTGGATTCCACATGGCCAACTGCACTTCAAATCCTGACTTTAGCAGCTCGATGAACCCCACAAGGAGCACGTGGATGCACACCCAAAGTCCCAACAGAAAGGAGAAATGGAGGCGAGGGTGCTGCATGCAGCATGGCTAAACCCCATTAGGGAGTACTTTCTCCCTCTTCCTCTTTGTCTTTCTCTGGCAAGTGTACACGCCCTCTGTCAATTAAAAAAAATAATAATTCTTTTTTTCTGAATCCCCCAAAACCAAGCTGAGCTCCTAATATATTTAATGTCAGAAACCACTGCCTTTTACTCCATTGCATTTGCTTTCAATCTTTATACTTTGTCTTCAAAGCTGGTAAAATAAAGAACTAAACTAAAAGTGATTAAGCCATTATCACTCTCAAATATGGCAGTGTCCGGGTATGGGTTCATTCTACAGGTTTTCTTTTCTTTTTTTTCTGAGTATTAAACTAGAATCTATTAGGTCCTTGGAAAGGTCATGATATATTTTTCTTTCTTTTTCCTTTTCTTTTCTTTTTTCTTTTTTTTTAAGAGAGAATTTTTTATAATAGGCCATGTGTGCTCTCTGGAGAGACAGAGAGACAGAAAGCAAGAAATCACACCCAGGGAAGATGGCCATGTTGCAATCCGTCCTCCTCTATTCTCCTCTCAGGATTTTGGGCACTCACACAGACAAACTCAGAGGGAGTTTCAAGCCTCCGGGTCCAGGGCTTGAACCACAGTCAGTATAGCAATGTAACTAGCACGCCATCTGCTAGCTCCCATATTTTTCTGGTTTTCTATGTATTATGACTTTCCAGACAACCCAATAATTCAAGAGGATGTAGATAAAATATTATATGCTTATTGAGGCAAATAAAAAAAGAGAAATCTAAGAATAATGAAATGATCATGATAAGAGGGAAGTATAAATTTTCAAGAATGTGTTCTTTTGGAATAACTCAGAAAACAAAAAATAAAACAAAATAAGACTGCAGAATATAAAATGAAATACCAATGCAAAGAAAGGGAAGAATCAGAGAACTAGGTTGTCTAAATAGAGCTTAGGATCAGACAGTTCTTTTGTCATTGTTGTTTATTTATTTATTTAGAGGTTTTTTTGCTATAGGGCACATGTGCTCACCAGAGAACAGAGCAAGAGAAACAGAAAGCAAGAAATCACCTCCCCCCGGGGAATGGCCATGCAACAATCACTTCTCCTCCATTCTCCCGGGATTTGGGCGCACGCACATGTATGCCTGGCGTGAGTTTCAAGCCTCTAGGTCCAAATTCTAACTATGGTCGACTATGTGGGAGTCTAGCAATGTAACCATTATGCCATCTTCTGGTCCTAGGATGAGACTATTTCTAAAAGTAGGAAATGTTAAATATTGAGTGTGATTGTTGAGGGAAATGAACGTATTCAAAATACAAAACTGAGGCCCACTTGGCTAGGGAAGTTTTGACCAAGGCCTGTTCCCTAAATTGCAGAGGCTAGAGCAGGTAAAGTCTGTCCCTCCTGCCTGACTCCACATGCCACCTTATGCAACATTTTTTGGTTTCTCCACCTCCACCTAGTGTTCATTCAAGTACCTGCGCTTGCTTTGTCAGATCAAAGTGACCTACTCTGGGGACATGCAGTTTCTATACAAAACTTTTCAAACTGTCATGAAAAGTGCATATTGGGAAAAAACTATACTTGGACTTTAAATGTTTTGCACCAAAATAAACTTATTTTTCAGTTCCATATAATTCCAAAAAAATTCACAAACTGTTGAGTCTCTTCATATGATTTTTGTTAGTGGAGAATGGAGGAAGAAGGGATGGTTAATCATGAGAGTGGGTAGAGTGACAGTCGTTGAGGGTCAGGAGTAGGAGCAGTCTGAACCATTACTGAAACATTTCACCTCCTGAGAGAGGCCAATAATACTAATTACTCTTGTTATAAAAATGACAATAATAATAATAATACCTGTAGTTCTCCCTTTTTCAAGGTTCTATGGTATACCTGATTCCTTTATACATGATTTCCAATCTCAGCACCTCTCCTAATAATGGTTTAGTCTCCCCATTTTATGTAGAAGGACACTCTGGTTCAGAGAGGGCAAGTAAGTCATTCAGAGTCACAGGACAGGTTCACGGAGAGTCTGTCTCTCTCCAAGTAAGTGGTTTAAAGCAGACTGCTTACAATTTAGTGACCATCGACCGCATAGATTAGCTTTTCCCTCACTCCCTCTCGGCAGTTTATAACCTTGGACGTTAATCCTGCATTAGTCAGGGAGGAATGACTTGTATCTGCAGACCTGGGTGTCCCTAGTCTTGCCAGGAATCGTTTCACGTGAACAGCAGCCTGACCCGGCGTGTCAGAGGAGCAAGAGTACTCCTGCCCTGAGCAGTGCCACCGCTGCTGTTCCCGTGGGACCAGCATTTGTCCACCTCCAGGCTTGATGTAGAACTGAAGCTCAAAGTTCAGGAAAGCAAAGCTAGGGGCTCACTGGACCTGAGAGAAACATCAGCTCTTGGCCAAGCGACTGTTTGCAGAGATCTTATTTTGTTCTAAAGTGTCCTGACTCAGTAAAATGTTCAGAATTGAAATACAGTAGTTCCCCCTTATCTGCTAGAGATATGTTCTAAGACCCAGTGGATGCTTGAAACTATGGATAGTACCAAACACTATAAATTCTATACTTTTACATAAATAAATATAGATGCCTATGATAAAGTTTAATTTATACATTAGAAACAGATAAACAACAATGACTAATAATAAAACAATTATAATGATATGCTGTAACAAAAGCTAGGTGGATGTGGCCTCTCTGTGTGTTACTCTCTTTCTCAGAATATCTCATTGTGCTGTGCTGACCTGTTTTTTTGATAACAGTTGACCGCAAGGCAAGCAAAACAGTGGAAAGCAAAATCTTGATTAAGTGGAGACTGCTGTTTCATAAGTGGAAAGATCGTGGGATTTGGAGCCTATGAAACATTGGGGAATCCCCCAACACCTTTTTTCCTCAACTTCCCCATCTGCACAATGGGCTAGTCATGCCTCCATTAGATAATAATTATGAAGCATGAACTAGGGATCTCACATAGAATAGGTTTTCATTAAGTGGTCATTTTCATGACCTTACTGTTAATCCATGATCATTACGTGAATAACAACTGCCTAACTTATTCTCCGCTGCCTGTCCCACTCTAGATATGTCTGGTTGAATGTGATATTTATATTCCCTCAAGTCACAGGCCATGATTTAAATGTATTTATACACAGCATGAAATCTGAGTTTACACTCTTTATAAAGGGACTTCAAAAAGTTCAGGGACCAGCAGTTAGCATAATGGCTATGTTGCTGGACTCCCACGTAGTCGACCGCGGAATGCGTCCTGGACACGGTGGCTTAAAACTCACGCCGGGCGTGTGCGTGCCCAAGATCCCGAGAGGAGAATGGAGGAGAAGGGATTGTGGCGTGACCACCCCCGCTGGGAGGTGATTTCTCGCTTTCTGTCTCTCCTCTCTCTGTCTGGCGAGCGCATGCGCCCTATAGCAAAAACCTCTCCAAAAAATAGAAAAAAAAAGTTTATAAATGGGCTAGCAGGTGGCATGGTAGTTAAAGGCTCTGGATTCAACCATGGTTAGAGTCCTACATCTGGCAGCTTGAAAATCACCCCAAGCACATGTGCATGCATGCTCAAAATCCTGAGGAGAGAATGGAGGAGAAGAAATTGTGGCATGGTCATCTCCCCGAGGGGTGATTTATCACTCTCTCTGGAGAGTGCACACACCCTATGATCAAAAACCTAAAAAAAAAAAAAAAAAGTTCATGAACAATGGAATTAAAGCATGAGTTTATATTGGTGCAAGAATGTTTTAAATTCATGGATTGTTTTTATTTCACCTGTTTTCCTTGAACATTTTGAAGACCTCTCTTATATGTAAGTAAATTTCACATATCATAGAGTTACACTGATTGTAAGATTAGCAGGATAGTAAAGAACTTTCATAAGCAAAAGCCATATCCTACA